GTGAGTGAGTGAGTGAGTGAGTGAGTACAGTGTGTCACCGTAGTGCCAAACGGGGCAGAGGGTCCCTGTGGGATCATCTCACTGTGGTGAACCCACAGCTGGCATCTTGAATGCTTGCCTTGTGGTAGTCTGGAGGGGGTCAGTCCTCCATTGCCTCCACCAAAATTTGGAGAGGCACCACCCAAGACTCCTGTCTGGGGAAGGCTATTTGTCACCATCTGGGGGGAGGAAGAGATCAGCCCCAAGGGGAGAAGTGGGGAGTCAGAAAGAGGCACCTCCTTCCAAAAGACAAGCACAGGGGTTGCTGAGGCTGAGAGTGTGAGGCAGGTCAAGCTCCACAAAGCTACAGCTATTGGGTCTGTACTGATCTTCAGCTGACGATCTAAGGCAAGGCACAGGAGGTGGCCACTCATCTTCTTGCTGAGATGGTTGCCCTGCTTGGCCTTCCACCAGTTGCTGCATATCTAAGGCAAGGCACAGGAGGTGGCCACTCATCTTCTTGCTAGGATGGTTGCCCTGCTTGGGCTTCCACTGTGGAAGCCCTGGCCTTCCACCAGTTGCTGCATTTTTTTACACCCTAGTACAACCCCCCAAGGAAAACCATCAGGTGTAGAATCCTGTCCTTGCTCTATGACTCTGTGTGGGAGGTAGTCCGTGACCAGCTTTCACGGCCACAGGGGCGGAAGGTGCAGTTTACGGCAGACTTTTGTAGTGGAAGTCACCATAGGTACCTCTCACTTACAGCCCACTGGCGGCAGAGAGAGGACCTGAGGAGCAGCAGGGTATTGGCAACAGGGCTGCAGGGGGAGGCCCTTGTCCACCGAGCTACAGGACCATTCTGCTGCAGATGGCAACAGAGCTGCAGGGGGAGGCCCTTGTCCACCGGGCTACAGGACCATTCTGCTGCAGCCATGGCACATGGAGGCTCAGGGAATGGGGAGGAACATCACCAATCAGTTCCTGTCTGTGCTGCAGCAGTGGGCACCAGAGGGGAAAGTCCTCCATGGTCACGGATTCTGGGTGCAACATTTTGGTGGCATTGAATGTGGCAGGCTTCAAAGGTATTGTGTGCATGGTGCACTTCTGGGTGCAACATTTTGGTGGCATTGAAGGCTTCAAAGGTATTGTGTGCATGGTGCGGAAGTTATATCTTTTTGTGTGTGTTGCCATTGGCCTGAGAAGCCACATCAAGCCTGAGTGGAACATGTGCACCTGGGAGATGGAGGCATTCATGTAGCAATGCTGCCATTTCTCACATAGCCTGAAAGCTGCCTGCTGGCTGGACAGGAGGAATTGGGACAAGAGACGCACATTCTCCTAATGGACCTGCCAACCAAGTGGAACTCCACTTACACCATGGTGTCCTGCCTGGTGGAGAAGACAATAATTTTGGAGGACATCATGTCCTCCATGCCCATTCTGCCCAGAGGAAGAGAGGTGGGAGTCAGTGTCATGGATTGGCTGGCCTTCTCCCAGATGGTGAAGGTGCTCAAACCCTTCCAAGAGACCACTGATGTCCTGCGTGGTCACATGGCCAGCCTGGGGCAGGTCATCTCCCCGATTCATACCTTTGACCAGTCTCTGGAGTCTGTTCTGGCACAGGGATCCTCCCTCCTTTCACAGATAGGGGCCTTGGTGAAAAGGTTACCATGGAGGACAGACAGGCAACAGAGGAGGACCCAGCAGAGAGAATGGTGTAGGACTGAGCCCCCACACACATCAGATTGCCTTCACTTCTGGAAAATGGTTGTGTGACCAGAGTTGTCCACTGTAGCCATGGATCTCTTTTCCATCCCCCCCCAGCATGTCTAGAGCCAGCATGTCTTCTCCCATCTCGGATACATGCTCCAACCCCGCCACTCCTGTTTGGATCCCATAACTGTGGAGGCTATCATTCATCAAGATGAACCTTCTCTTGTTGAGCTTCCTCTCATTGAACCCAATGAGGTAGGGTTCTAATGACAGTCTCTCTGCCACCACGCCACCTGCCTCCCTGCCTGCCCTCCTGAGTCCCCCAGGTCCACCATACAATCTGCTTGCCTCCTTCTGTCACACTCAGAGCAGAAACTGAACTCAATGCCCCTTTCTGTCCCACTTAGGACACAAACTGAACTCAGTGCCATCCACCTCTGTGCCTAGTGGCAAACCAAAGTATATCTTTTCCAAACACCTCTGTGCCTGGAGACAAACCCTATCTCAGTGTCATCCGCTTCCATGCCTGGTGACAAACTAAAGTATGTCTTTTCCAAACACCTCTGTGCCTGGTGGCAAACTATGCCAGCTCCCTCTGGAACTTTCCTGAGGGGACCCACTTTGTGGGCTTCTAGAGGAGAGAAAGTGGAAGCATCCCTGTGGATTTGGTGTTTCTAGGTACCTGGGGGGCATTTTAAAATAAAGTTGTATCAATGAGTCAATTCGTTAAAATTATAAATTTGTGATTCATCAGCTGTGATGAATTGCAAATTGTGATGAATCACAATTTTTTTTTATTCATGCCCATCTCTATTAAAATGTAATAAATGGACCACTAGGTGAGTCGGTGACTTCATTTGAGCCAGGACTCATGAAAGCAGAGCTTGGACTTTGAATTGCAAATATACCTCATATGACAGAAATCGGGGATATGGGTGGCGATGGAATCAGGCAGAGAATTCTAGGCAGGCTTATGTGAAATTAAAGGCTAGACATTACTAGTGAAGCTTGGGGATATAACTAGGGCTGGACAACCAAGGCTTAGCCCCAGGGCACCAAATTTAGAGGAAGTGCCCCTTCTGAAATTGGCCAGATAACCTGGTCTACTGCCATAGAAAAAGATGTTGGTAGATCAGACATCCAGGGCCAATTGTAGATTTTCAGCAGGCCATACAGCCAGTAGATCAGACTGTGAGTAGAGAGCAGAAGAGAGGCTGTCCCTGCTGAGGAAGAGTAAGACCTGGATCTACCTAGGGCTTGGTAGACCAACCCTCTTGCCTAGACTATCAGGCAAAAGCCATTTGGATAAGATATACAGGAAGACAGTGAGAAATGCAGAAGGGAGAGAAGGTGTTAAATTCAGTGGCTTCTCATCCCTCCATGAATTCCAAATAACAGTTAAGATTTCACTGCTTACCTGAATGCACCATTATAGCCATAGTATATCTCATTGCTGTTGTCTTTACACTTGTTTTTTTCAATACGGCTTCCAGGTTCACTGCCCTTGCATAGCCTGCAGAGGGGAGATTCAATTGGTGCTCCTGGTGCACAGCTTTCACTGAAGAATTTACCTGACATGGGAGCAAAAAAAGAGTTACAGCTGGCAGCATGATACAGCATTAGTCTTCCATACATGAGGGCCCAGGTTTCGTCCTTAGCATCTTCCACTGGAAAGATCAGGCAGCGGATGATGTAAAATACTTGTCTCTGAGAACATGGAGGGCTTCTGGCAGGTGGTGTAGGTGAGAAGCAGTGAAATGGGCTGGGGGTGACACCCATGCTCCCAGCGTTCCATGAATCAGCGGACATTAGGGGATGTGAGTATACCCCCATCATTTCCCCCTTGGTCCTCAGCTAGGGATCAATCATTGCTCTTCCCTGTGGGGAAGGGGCAGCAGCAGCAAATTATTTTAGCTCAAGCTCTCAAGAGATGGTTGTTGTGGGTTTTTCAGGCTCTCAAGAGATCACAGAAGCACTGGTTCATAAACGGCCAGCTCGTTCTGACCTCCTTCCCCTCTAGGAGCCATCCAAGTGCTCCTAGGAGTGCTAGCCAAAAGGTAGCAAGCTTTTCTCTCTTCTTTTCTCTATATAGAGGAAAAAAGATGGGAGCAAATAGCTTCCAGAGCTAGCTTGGATCAGGAAAACAACTGAGGAAAAAGTAATCCTTTCCAGCTCAAAACACACACAGGGAGGGTTGTTTTAATCCTTATCTCCTTCAGCCTCAAACAGCAGAGTAGGTCATACCTAAGGGTTCGCAGGGTCTAACTACTAACTCATAGCCATACATCCTTGTTTAACAGAACTAGGGCTATCTCTACAAGTTACCGCTGAGTTTTTGAAACAATTTGTACTTTCTGCTGTGTCTAGGGAAAAACACAAAGAACCATACAGAAGAAACAGGAGAACAATCTATTTGCGAAGGCTTTCACAGCCGGGATCTGATGGTTGTTGTGGGTTTTTCAGGCTCTTTGGCTGTGTTCTGAAGGTTGTTGTTCCTGATGTTTCGCCAGTCTCTGTGGCCGGCACAGTGCTGTCCTCTGAAGATGCCGGCCACAGAGACTGGCAAAACGTTAGGAAGAACAACCTTCAGAACACGGCCAAAGAGCCCGAAAAACCCACAACAACCAGGAGAACAATCATTGGTACTTACATCACAAAGACACCCTATGAAAAGTAAGTGAATAAAGCAAGTTAATTCCACACTAAATGCCTAGTATGGATCCAAATCTATGCTGAATCAATCAGCTTTTTAGGGATACTTTCCAATCAGACTGTTACGTTGCAGTTGGCCTGTCTCAGACATGTAAAACAGTGAAAGGGTCTAGATGGTTTCTCTCTAACAGCACAGATCAAGAAGACCAACCACAAAAAAAGCATGCTAATTTGTAAACTGTAAGAAGTACCAAAGCAATCATATAACTTTCAGCACTTCAGGAATTCCTTTAGTTTCACTTCAATCTTATCCTAATCAACCTCCCAAAGTAACTTTGAAGATCAAAGAGGCAGTATTACACATTTTGCATGGTGGTCTTAGTAATCTACAAGTAAAAAAAGAAAAAGAAAAAAAAGAACCTAAAATCACTTACCAAAATCACAACTACTGTTATCCGCATTGTAAAGCAAGCCCAGGGGTATATTCCAGCCAGCGTTTCTGCCAACACCAGTATGACAGGACTTTTTTCCTTTCAGGGTCTGCCATGTGATGTCAGGATCAGATGCCTTAACGACTGCTACAGAAGAGTAGCCTATAACTAGAGGTAGGAGAAAGGAAGCAAAAAACACTGAACTGAAAACTTGATTTCATAGGAAACAGGCTCAACCGTTTGATCTCATAGATTTTGCAAGCACTTTGGCAATGCAGATGATATCTTCGTGGTTCTGTCTTGAAATGGGAAGATATTACTTGTTTCGTTGTCTCTGATCTACTCCCATCAACCCCCCCCCAAAAAAAATGAGGCAGAATATGGCACAGAAAGTTTTAACCATGTTTTTAAACCTCCAAATAAAAAGCCTCACTACTTGGCAATATCTGTATGTCTGTTTGTGTGTTTTGTAATTACTCACCCATTGACTCACGCTCTGGATGGTTGCACACACCATTGTCAGAAGCTGGAGTGGGAACAAGATAAAGAATTTGAAGAAAGCAGTTCAAGCCAGCAAGTCCATCTAACTTTCACCATGACATGCAACTAATGCTAGGAAGAATTCTAGGAAGAAAGCCAGCTGCCTTCCAAAACTGTACAATAATGTGAGATGTAGACACACACACCCTGACCAAAACAAAACCATGACTGCCTGAAAAATCAAGTATTCTGATTTGCAGTTACAGGGCACTTGCCCACAAGCATGGTGCATATATTTCATATATGTTACAGAATTTCCCTGTTCTGAATTCTGTTAAATTCTGTTAATCTTGTCCCATTTTACTTTGGTGAATCTCAGATCTGCCTCTTTTGGGTGAAACCTATAAGCTTTGGGGTTGAACTTGGGAAATTTGCTTTTTGTATATAAAATTGCTTGAATATGCTGGCCAGCAGAGGCTGGAGATTTCCGGTAGTCCTGAAAAGCAACATTTCCACAGGCTTTTGAACACATACTCTTAGTCAAACAGCAAACCACTGGAACAGAGGTGCTAAATCTAGCCATTTTATGTTTTTAAAAGGAAGCTGATGCTTGGGCAGATACTGGGTGGCAAGAAAGCTCTTCTTTGCTTCCTGCACTGTTTTGCCTGTTATACCAGCAGAAGAAGCTTCTGCCACTCATTTCACTAGTATCTGCTTAAGAATTTGTGATTCCGAGATAGCTCTCCTCTATAACGACAAGAGTGATTGTGAATTTGCACATATGATGGATATATGTCTCTGTGTCCCTTCAGAACACATGTCCCATGTCTCAGATTTCATGGTCCATATCCTTTAGGCGGAAACAAGACCTGTATCCAACTTAAATTTTCATTGCTTTCTCCAAACTTGTGCCCTGATTTGAGATAGGTCTTTCTGACATTACCAGCCTTATCTGTCATTTGCCTTCTTCCACTTTTGAAGTATGCACATTAGAATGTCGTATCATATCAACTTCCCCCGCTGCAAGAGCACAAGCTAGTATGGGAGTGAAAGACTATGACTGTGTGACTATCAAAAGACAAATAACCAGGAATCTTGACATCTGAACAGCTTTGTGGGTATGGTCTGCTATTGGCCATTGACTATGGGGTTTTACACACACTAGGTTTCAAAAGGTTTAGCAGCTGCAGTTTACCAATGGCCCTGGACCACTGGTAAACTACAGCTGCTAAACCTGAATCCAAAGAATTTAAGCTTGCCACTAAACTCTGACCTTGCCTCCATCTGAAGACTGGTGCTAAGAGTGGCTTCCAGCTGCCTGCACATCATAGCCAGTGCTGCAATCAGTCAAACAATCATCTTCCATACTTACAGTAGACTTCTGCCAACACAGGAACCAAGCCACACTTTCCAGCTGTGTAGATATGGCCTCCATCCAAGCTCATGGCATCAGCTTCACCTTTCTGCAATGAAAACGGGATATGCTAATAGCAAATACGTTTTCTGAATGTGTTCCATAATGTAACCAAGGCAGTACTACTACTCATGAACAAGATTAAATATCAGCAGACATGAAAGAACTCAAAGATTTATAGAAAAAGCACAAAAAGTTGTCAAGGAAAACCTGGTGAGGGGAACCACACAGGCAATGAGGAGTAAGGATGTTCAGTAGGACAAAATGCTGTCTGATTGTCACTAGAACAAAATGTCATATGCTATTTCCTGGCCCACCTTGATAAATCTTCCTAAAATGCTACAAGGGATAGATATGAGAGCTGTCCATAGACTTCAATGTAAAGAACACAAGAGTTTACTATATTGCAGATGGTGGGCATATTTGCTCACAAGCATAGTGCATATATTTCAGGTTTCATAAGTGCCTGCAATACAGAGGAGGTGGAAGGGGAGAGGGAGAGGGAGAGAGAGGGAGGAAAACAGACCTAAACACAGAGGGAAGAGAACAAATACAGGCCACTGAGAACTAAGTATGCTCAGTGTGCATGAAATAGGGCTTGAATGTTGAGGGCGAGAAAACCAAGCAGGGGGAAAAGGAAAGGAGCTACAGGAATCCTAAACAGAAACATTACAGATGACAGGGAGCTATTTGTTCATAACTAAAGCCAGTTGGGCAGAAAAAAGAAATATCACAGCCTCCATTTTGCAAGTATTTGCTGTTAGTGCAAATCATACACAAACTTTGTACTGGATGCTCTTATGGTGGGGACATAGCATAAAATTGAGACACTTGGAAGAATGGAGTGGGGAAGCAACCACAAAGGCCATTTTGAACTCTCAGGAAGAAGGATTTCATTCCCTTTCTGGTTTGGTTTATCTGTGGTTATTGTTGCATGGCAGAAAGAATGGGTTAAACTGACAGCTGAATGCTGACCGAGTGACAGTTAAACCCATTGTGACATTTGAAGAGGAAGGAAAGATTCTGCCTCAGTGGAACTTGGTTATGTGCAACTGTTTTCCTCAATCTAAGTGAAAGAGGGGAGAAATTACAGTATAGAACAGTTGAGTTAGTGTGTGTTTCATTAAGATCCAACTGGAAACTTTAAATTGTTCATACTATGACAGATAGGATCATAAAAGTTAGACAGGATATAGAATTATGGTTATTAGATAGGATGGTGAACTTAAGATAGACATTAGGATTTTGAAATTAATTGAGATTCAGTTTGTATTAGGACTCAACATGTGAAAAGACAGCATTTAGCTTAGACAGGAAGTCTGTTGTCCTGAACCATATATAATATGTTTTATTATTACCATTATAGTCCTCATTATTTAATTTGTTTTAAAAATAAGAAGACTTTTTATAACAAGGATCTCTTTATTTTCTAGTGGCAGTTATCAAGTAATAAACACCACACTCATGCTTGGCCACAGCTCATTCAAAGCAGGAAGAGAGGAAAGCAAAGCATAACTACTGAAAGACTTCCAGTTGGTGGCAGCTGTGTCACCAATGTCTTAAGAGTTCTAACAGAAAGGCTGAAATAAAACTCTTCTACTGGGTGAAGCAGAGGATGAAGAAATGGCCTAGGAGCCTAAAGTGTTTAGACAACAATGTCCAGTTGAGTACTAGCAGGGGCAGATCCGTGGATAGGCATTCCTGTGTACTAACAAAAGGTAGCAACCCAGCTGAGGGAGGCTTAAGCATGCCACAAAAGGGATACAAAGAGAGAGAGAGAGAGAGAGAGAGAGAGAGATTGGTATTTTTTTTTACTACCATTCCCAGAATAGGCAATTTTGCTTGGGATATTCTCTGAGTCATGATCCCAAAAATAACTTTTCCATGTTTTGTGACAGATACAGTGGTGCCTCGCTTAACGATTGCTTCGTACAACGAAAAATTCACTTAACGATGGCTTTTTCGGAGCGATCTTGTGCTTCACTTAACGATTTTCCCTATGGGCGATTTTTGCTTAATCATTTCAGGACCATGCTTCGCTTAACGATGACAGTTTTAGGTCCCCTTGTTTCGCGTAACTTTTTTTTTACAGCCCCGTTTTTGCTATTTTTAAAATATTCTAAAATGTTTAAAAATGTTTAAAATGCTTGGAATCGTTAGTGCACCTAACAAAACCTTCGTTACCTTAATTTGGCTTTGTTCTGAGTCTTTTTGAATTTTTTGTGAATTTTTTCCTCCATTGAAATAGGCTTCAATGCATTTCAATGGGTTTCGCTTAACGTTTTTTCCTATGGGGATTTTCGCTTAAGGATGGTAATCCATTCCAATTGGAACGGATTATCCAGTTTTCAATGCATCTCTATGGGAAATGGTGTTTCGCTTAACGATGTTTTCACATAGCGATTTTTTTTGAACCAATTAAAATCATTAAGCGAGGCACCACTGTAGGTAGGTAGCCAGTGAAATCCATATTTATTTATTTATTTATTTATTTATTTATTTATTTATTTATTTATTTATTTATTTATTTATTTATTAGATTGCTATCCCGCCCTTTTAGACAAAGTCTATAATAAACTCTGTGAACCAAAATCACACACCAGATGAAAGCAAGGATGCCTGAAGTGCAGGCCTGATCTCAGTCACATGTCTCAGTGGGGAAGGAACAGAGTTGGAACCATTGCTTTCTGGGAGTCCAGTTTCTAACATGGTGTCTGCTATGCTTGCTTGGAACTTTAAAGAGTTGTAATCTAAAACTCTTACAGACTTACAGGAAGAAACAAGAGGATGGTGCATGCAACTTTTAAGTGCTTACCATGATCTTTTCGATGCAGTTTTCTGTTGACTCACCCACAGCGCAGTCAATTTTGTTGCCTTCGCTTATTCCACTCCACAAGTCACATTTGGTCTTCTCAGCCTTACCCACAACACACCATACAATTCTGTCAGACGTATCAGGAACAGGTCTCTCTAAGGGTTAAGAAGGCAGAAACTCAATTAAACAGCTGTTCAGTATGCCCCACCAAGACCCTGCAAACAGATTGCTGGTAGAGGGGAAATAACAGTTGTCATGTTTTTCCCAGCTCCTTCTTTCCCTTTCCCCCCCAGTAGTAGCACAAACGCTAAATTTGAATGAGAGATTACAGCTTTACATACTAAAGTTAATGTTCTGATTATCAAATGTGCACAAGTACATCGAGAAGCATTATTTAGCCCTATTCTGAACAATGTGCTCAGATATTTTCAGTGGGGGCATCGTTAGTTCAAGAAAGAATAAACTTCATGCAGTGATTGACAGACAGAGGCCCGGGTCCTCTTACTTACTTTTGCTAGGATAGCGGGTAACTTTTGGAGGCAAATTTTCCCAAGTAAAGCAATCACTATAGACATTATCAGTTTCATACTTAGTTGTATGACTCAGCATATAATCAATAATGTCTACAGTGATTTCCTAACTTGGGAAAATTTGCCTCCAAAAGTTGCATCATTTGCATTGTTATCAAGATTCCCTCTAAGGAGCACAGCTACACAAGCGCACAGAGCTGCAGGTCCCCTCCACATATCATTCCACCTCCTCTGCACACCTACAGGAAAATAGTTTCAGCCCCTTTGTTTTCAGTTGTCACAGAACTCCTGGTGGAGGAGGGGACAAATCATATGCACAAGAGGGTGGAGTCACATGCATGATGGGTAGAGCCCCACCTAGCAAGGCTGAAAATTAGAAGGAACGTTGGTTACTATACAAGAGGATTTTGGCCAAAGAGTCTTTCCAGAAAAATAAATAATAATCATATAAACTATTCAAATACTGTGCTTTATCTGAAAAAATATTGTAGTTCCAAGAAATTCAAGCTTTCCTTATCCTGTTCCAAATACTGTACAGAACATAGCTGTGTGAGTATTATAGGTATCTATTAGCATCAAGAGAAAGCAATTTCCTTGCTTATGTCTGTACTGCTTGTGTGTGGTTTTTTTCTTTCAAAAAACCACATTTGTTTGTGTTTTACTTCATAACTAGCTGCACACTCAAATACAGCTAAGTGGCCAAATGTGAGTGTACTACTCAAAAGCGGAATTGCTTCTCTGGTACTTGAAAAAACAGCAAGGCCAAATTTCCATTTTTCAAAAAGTGATTGTCTTTTTTAATGCAACTACCAAAAACACCCATGACAGAGATCCAGTGGTTAAGATGAAGAATTTTGATAATTAAATATAGAGTTGACTGATTATATTATATTATATTATCAGTATGTTGTATGCTGTTCTGGGTATTCTTTTTTTAATTATTATTATTTAGTAAAAAGCAAAATATAAATTTTATTGTTGCTGTTATCATTTTAAAGCTCCTGAAATATTTATCATGTGCCAGAACATAACAGGACACTTTGCTTAGGCTCTTCCAGATGAGCAAAAATGCCAACCCCTTTCTCACTCTAGGAACTGAAAAACTGTGAGACATTCTGGGAGGCGGGGCTTCATTGCCGTGCTGCCAGCAGCTTCCGGGAATAGCTCCCAGGAAAAGCTGGAACCACCCGGTCTGGGGTCCTTTTAGAAATGAGAGATCGAAGGAGAGACTAGGAGAAGTCTCTCTGAAGGAGTTGGTTAGCAACAGAAGGAGGAAGACTGAGCAACAACCCGGTATTTCTTCCCTCTGAAGAGTTCACTCAAGCACAGATTGGATGCGGGAGCCATCTTTGGCAGTGAGCTGTGAGTGCCCCCCCCCCCCCCCCCGAGGAGAGGAGAATGAGCAATATGGCGTTGAAAATATATAACAACAAAGTAAGTTGAAGCGTTTGATTTAGGAACAGCCCCATTAAGCTGAAAAAGAAATCAGAGTGAAAATATTTGGCCGAAAGAAGGCAAAGAACAGTGAGTTTTGCTTACCAACCTGCTTCTTCAAAAGCGAAACTAACTCTTAAACAGCAGGCTGGTTCAAGGCCGAAAGAGATACAGTGAGACGGGGGAAAAAAATTTGTTTCTGGAAAAAATGCCAGAGTGAAATACCACTGGACAGGAATTAAGAGAATGAAATTCTGTGAATGATGTTTAGCTTGGACTTTTCTCCCTAGACTGTGTGGGACTCTGATAATAGAATCTTGTTAGGTTTTTGGAGAAGAAGGAATGAGTTTTTAGAAGCAAGAAAACAGACTGAAAAACATAACATCAAGATGACGTGGTCGACTGGACTGAGGAACTAGGAAAACCAGGACTGGAGGTTTTTTTATTGAAACTTTGGATTAATGGAAAGAACATAAAATGGATTATAAGGACACTCTTTATTGAATCTTTGGATTAATGGAAAGAATGTAAAATGGATTACAAGGACATCTACAGGAGAGACTGAAACCCTGTGATTGCTGTTTAGTCTGGACTTTTTGGCTGGACTATGTGGGATTCTGATAACAGAACTTTGTTAGGTTTCTGAAGAAAAAGGTACATTTTTGCCACAGTTGAATTTTAAACTGCTGGGCTAAAAGCTGATTTATATACTATAACATTTGTGTAAAGATGGGAGGAAGAACCTAGGGGAGGTTTATGATTGTGGTTTGGTTTGTTGATAAAATAGTGGAAAATTCGGAAAGATATTTGAGAGTTGACCACTTTGGTGAAGGATATAGTATTATCTATACAAACCCTACTCACTGGAAAGATCGAAATGGCCTCCTAAAATTAAAACATCAAATGTTGGAGACCTTGTCTGTCCAATCTCAAAATTTGGGAATAGTGGCACAAAAATCAGACAAAGAATGACAGACTACCATGCAAAAGATAATGACAGCAGGATTTCAGCAAGTAAACAAATGTCTTAGCCAAATAGAAGATCAGATGAAAGAGGGGACATCAGATTTTAAACAACAAATGAAGCTTCACTAACCCCAGAATCACTTTTATTGAGTATGATACCAGGTAACATAGATGGGATAAAGAGTTACTCAGTGATCTATTAGCTACTACAGTCAGAAAGTTTTATGTTAAAAACTGGAAGGAAAGCAGAGTTACTGAAACAAGAGGAACTTATTGAGAAAATATGGGAAGTGGCAGAAATGGATATTTTTTCAGATGTGTTGAAAGACTGTCTAATTCAAAAGGAAATTGAACAATGGCTTCAGTTCCCAGATAGTGTTGAAGTAACATAGATTTAAACTAAAACATAACTGTAAGTTGAAAGCTGGAGGGTAATCAAATTGTAAAAAAGCAGAAAGTTGATTTGTTATTGTAATATGACTAGATTGGATGATTGCATACTTTGTGTTCTCCTATCCCCCTAACCCTTTTCCTTTCATCATACTTCCTTTTACCTTTTGTATTCCCTACCTTTTCTTAGTTGTTAAAAAATAAATATTAAAAAACTGTGGGACATTCTGGAATTCACATCCAAACCTGATTTAAAAAGCTATTTCTCCTCAGAATTTTTTTTGATATTTTCTAAAAGTAGGAAATAGAACATCCTTACGGTGCTTCTCTTCTGGAAAAGTTGTTATAAAATCAAGTGAGAGCTTCATCAAAAGCTTCTCATTGCAAAGCTGTGAATGAGAAAAATGAACCACCCCAGGGAAGTTTTATAGTGCTAAGCTTTGGCCCCAAATGTATGTGGGTATAAATTAATGGAGGTACTTCAGGAGAGAATTAAAACAAAAAGAGATGTTTGTACAGTACTTCTTCTAATGAAGACAAGCCTTGCACAGTCCAGTCCAGACAGTGAGAAAAATATACTGATAAGATCAGTGCAGAATCAGGTACACAGTGCAAAATAGATGTTCCATCTGGAAGAGCTCATAGGCTCCAAAACCCTTTGTCACAAGCAAATTTCATTAGTATGTCTTCATAGTAAAAGGTTCATTTATATAAACTTGTACCTAAGAAGCTTTATCTTAACATGACTGTATTTGTATAGCACAGACAGCAGAAAGTCAGATTGACCCTGCAATTTATTCTTCCATATACAGTATATCTCAAGGAGTTGGTCAATGGAATTAGTTACATTCAAAACAATCCTGCTGCCATTAAACTTGGGTGACGTCCAGACTGGCCCTTTTGGTATAGGCTAGTGAGGTCTAAATAGGATTGGTTGAGGTTGTGGGCGGGGAGGAGCAATATGCCATTTGACGCAATCCTCACATCCAGCTGGCACGTTGTCTTCAAGTGACACTATTTCTGGTATCCTGAAGTGGCAAATTTTTGCAAAGCAGGAGTTTGGGACAAAGGAAAGGGGGTGAGTTGACATATAGCTGGGAAAGACAGGCAGAAGAGGTGGAGAATGAGAGGCAGGCAAGCTATACTTGGTGGTGCAAAAGGAGAAAAGGCAACCAAATCCCCACCAAAAGCAGACAGGCCCCCACTTGCCCTTTGTGCTCCCCTTTGACTACACCAAGTTTGGAGATCTTGAGCGAAGGGGAGGAGAGGAGAGGAGAGGCACAGAGAAAGGAGCAGGACATGCAAGGAAGGGATGTGTGAAATCTCACCCAACACACACACACCCTGATCTGGCTAGTAGAGACAAAAGAAAGAAATCCACTCACCTTTTGCACCTTGTATTGTGCACGCATGCACACAAACACACGCGCGCACACACACACACAAGGAAGAGATGGAGATTTCTTGGAAGGTGCAAAACAGCTTTGACAGCTGCAAGTTTCAATTTTAGTTCATTTCTGTTGACTGCCTGTGCTGAGGGAACAAATTGGGGCAAACTGGTCCACTCCTCATGATGTGGACACCAGAAGAAAGAGTGGAACAATCTGGCCCAGCAATGCACCAAACAGGAGGATAAATGCCGGTCTGGACATGCCTTTAGTTTCGTGGCTTTCAGTGCCTTCTTCCTGTTTTGCTAACACTCGTGACATGGTTCAATTACCTTGGAGACTGCTGGTTTCCTGCTTACCTCTTCTGAGGCTCTGAGTAGCAGTATAATACTGGTATCCCAAGAACATTTGAGAATCCATCAATTCAGGGACACGACGAAGACCGGTAGCAGAATCCTTAAACAGGAGGTCTTTGAGGTGGCCTCCAGAAGGGCCAAAAAGTTGGCATTCAGGTCGGTCCCTCCGTTCCTAGCAGAAGAGAAAACTGGCTGAGTGAAAGGAAAAGAAAATGCGAAGGTGGAATGGATGGCAGTTTTAGAGAATGGAAGAAGTCATTAAAAGGAAAGGGGCTTCTGCCACTGCCTCCCCACCTCTTACACAAACTTCACCTGGTCTGCTTCTGCCATGTCCACTCAGTCTCATATGGATTTGCCACATGCTCTGCAGTGTTCAGTTAGACAAGGCACCAGAGGCTGTACATACTGAGCAACTATTCTCATTAGTGGAGAAATGTTAAATGTTGAACTGCAGGCTGTCTGTGTTACGGGCCCCATAACCACACCCCCAAGGAGAATCTAAAATGCAGACAACTCTGCTGACCTATATCAACACACCAGGTTTGGCAAGTGTCATCTCTACCATGAGCATTGAATGGACATTAATTGCCTATTGAAAACCAATCCATTTCAATGTGTCTTGTTTCGCTACAGAGGTAATGCACAACAGCAATATATTATTGCTGGGTGGGGGGACCCACTTCCATCACACACACAACTACGTACTATGAAGACTGCAGATAAGCTCAGAGAGAACAAGGAAGTGAGGTGAGGAGAAGAAGAAGAAGATAAAAGAAGGCATCAATCATCATCCCAGCTAATAAATAGTCCCTAGGACAGCAATTTTGCAAACCTTGGACATTTTACCTTTTTGGACTACAGCTCCCACAACCCTTTGCCAGCCTAGTCATAAATCATGCTGGCTAGAGATCTTAGGGCTTGTATTCCAATAATGGACTGTTTCAAAGCAGTGTTCAGGGACATTACACCTCTGACTCCTATATTGTATAGTATTCAGTGATCCAGTTTACAAATACGCATGCATGATCAAGTCAGAAATGTCTGTGCTTTTAAAAAGGTGGCAATGGTTTTGAAATGTCACATGCTATTCCAGAAAATAATCTGGGTATCTACTGCAGAATTTTCCAGTTCTTGGCCTCTATCACAGTCCTCTTCAAGCCAGTGAACATGTTGACTAGCAGATTCTGGGAGCTGCATTAGCCCACCGAGTAATTTTTCCAAGCAATACTTAGAGTGCACTTATTCTTATTCTTATACAATTTCATGTTGACTATGTCCTCAAATGGGTCTTTAAACTTCATTGAGAATTACATATTCCCTGCGTGCTGGATTGGAATTCTTCACCTCTCCTCCCTGTTTTTAAACCAAACTAGAAATACCAGTGCACTTGAAAGAAGCGTCCAGATCTCGTCCGCCCGACCATTGACACTTCGTGCCACCACGGCATGAGCAGGAACTTTCGCCAAGTTACAGTCCATGACTTGGTCAATAGGCTTCTTGGTGCCATCACTACAGAGCAGTTCGTACTGTTCTCTTTCTTCTGGACTGAGAGCTATGAAGATCAAGGAGAGACAGCAAAATGTAAAGCTGGCGTCACTGTGGTCTGCCAGAAAACTAGAGCTGACTAATGGGAAACTATATTTTAATAATGAAAACAATGCAGCTGAAATCCTGTTGCCTGGCATAGTGAGTCACTACTAAAGTAGGTCTAGTGGATTAACAGAATTTACAGAGGAGTTGTCTCACCTGATTCAGCAGGCCTACTTTAGTTCTAAGAAATTAAATTTCAGCTATCATGTCCTGCAATTGGAATTCTTCACCTCTCCTCCCTGTTTTTAAACCAAACTAGAAATACCAGTGCACTTGAAAGAAGCGTCCAGATCTCGTCCGCCCGACCGTTGACACTTCGTGCCACCACAGCATGAGCAGGAACTTTCGCCAGGTTACAGTCCATGACTTGGTCAATAGGCTTCTTGGTGCCATCACTACAGAGCAGTTCGTACTGTTCTCTTTCTTCTGGACTGAGAGCTATGAAGATCAAGGAGAGACAGCAAAATGTAAAGCTGGCGTCACTGTGGTCTGCCAGAAAACCAGAGCTGACTACTGTAATGGGGAACTATATTTTAATAATGAAAAACAATGCAGCTGAAATCTTGTTGCATGGCATAGTGATTCACTACTAAAGTAGGTCTAGTGAATTAACAGAACTTACAGAGGAGTTGTCTCACCTGATTCAGTGGGCCTACTTTAGTTCCAATTTACTTCACTAAGAAATCAGATTTCAGCTATCATGTTCTGCACGTTGCTCATCTTATTCCTCAGCTGATTGATTTTTCTCCTTCCTACCCTTCTTTTTGTGTATATTCTATCTTAACTGATCAGCTATAACAACCTGTTTTTTCCTTTTCTCATGATGTGACCAAAGCAGCCTAACTTTCAGCATTTTATGTGTTTTTATATATTTTCTTGAGCATTTCTTTGTTGGTCACCTTAGTGATCCATCAAATCCTTAGCATCTTATGATAAATCCCCATGTCAAAGTAATAGAGCCTCTCCCCATTGCCAGTTTCATTAATCCTTTGTATTAACCTAACGCACAATCCCACTGGATTATCCTATGTACAACCAAGGGATTTGTTAAATAAGAATCAAAGAAGTTCATGTGGCAAACCCCCATTTGTCCCTTCCACTCATGAGTTGTTTGTACACTCAGTTGTTTGTACAAATGGTTGAACCCTTTCTGAACAGATGCAGTAAGGTATTGCGAGATACCTCTTGGTGGAAGCTCAGAAGCTGCCCACCAAGGCCATTTGCACAGAGAGAAGGAACAGGATTCTTCCTGTGGAAATTAAGATTATCAATGGCTAGTGATTTTGAAGGCTGTATGTTAATGCCAGTATTAGAAGCTGTGTTTATATATCCCACTGATTTTCAGGTAACCATGCATATGATTATAACCTTAGTCTGTATTTTTGGTCCGACACCCCAGCGGCACTGTCACAGAGGGGCAACAGAATCCTCCCCTTCACTTGGGATGCTTGATCCCTCACTAACAGCTTCTCTTTAGGGGATGGTTTAGGGGTTCTTCCTTTGAACACACACACAGAGCGAATTATGATTATTAAGCAAATCTTGGAATAATTATTCCTTTTTCATGACAGTTATCCAAACCCAACAAACAATGGGAGTTGTAGTCCAATTTTTTCCCCCAAGCTTTGTTGATTATTGTGTAGATTCTGCTTCTGTATTTGCCATTCATACAACTGTCCCAGAGCATGGAATTCAACACAGTTAGACTGAAAAAAATATCAGTGACATCTGGTTGTTTAGAAGAGCATGATGTGATGCTGGCAAATGAACTTGACATCTGAAATCCTTACCTAACACTGTGGCATCTTTCACGAAGGCTACATCTCCAGCTCCAGATTTCAGACAACTTGAAAAATGGACAGAGAAGGAAATATTAGTATAATGATATTTTTGCATACATCTTTGCAGTCTCACCAATTTTCTTTATTCCCATTCTAGCTTTCTGGAAATATCCAGAGGGTGTTAGCCCCTTCTCCCATAATAATATCATTTTCTGGTTCCTGGTTTCTGGACAACTTTTTCCTCCATTGAAATGGCTCTTTTACCCTTTAATTGATGCCGACAATAGAGCTAAACTAAACCATTCTAGTATTTCTGGTTCTGCCCAGAGGATGTCCACACACACGCTCCCTCCCTGCCCTGTTGATGTGCATTTCTTGATATCTAAATGTTATACAATTTCAACATCTCTTCTGTATGTTGTATTTATCCTATGGGGATGTCAATAATAGTTTCCAGATCTGGCAGAACAAGGTTTGTATTAATGAGTATCCATGAATGTACAGGTGTGCAAGAATGCTGAGTAATGCTGAGTCATGGATGATTCAACATATGCTGAGTCATGGATGATGCAACATCTGCTATGATTGATTATATGCTAATATGTACAGTGGTGCCTCACATAGCAACGATAATCCGTGCAGCAAAAATCGCTGCAAAGCGATTTCGTCGCTATGCGATTTTAAAAAGCCCATAGGAATGCATTGAAACCCCTTCAATGCGTTCCTATGGGCTTAAAACTCACCTTAAAACAAAAATCCTCCATACGGCAGCCATTTTCGCTGCCCAGTAAGCGAGGAATCCGTCCCAAAACACAGCGGGCGGCCATTTTTTTCAGGCAGCCATTTTGGAACCGCCGACCAGCTGTTCTAAAAACATCACTATGCGATAATTGGCAACCAAAACGGTACCGATCATCGCAAAGCGATTTTTTCCTATTTAAAACATCGCAATGCGATCGCAAAAGCGGTCGTAAATTCGCAATGCGATCGCAAAAGCAATCGCAAATTCTTCGTCGCTATGCAATTTTGTCGTTAAACAGGGCGCCCGTTAAGCGAGGCACCACTGTATATGTATATATATGTGAAGTTGAACTGAAGATGTATCCCACCCTGATCCATTACTTGATGTCATCCTGTCATGCTGCCAGTTGGAACTGCTGTAACTGTATATATTGCATATTGGTGTTGGGAGAAGCTGCCTGTGTACGTGTGAGTTATTTGGTCTGCCTGGACTGGACAAGACTCTGCGCTAATTTCCCCCAGTTTTGTGCCAACAGGGGATTTGACAACATTTTACATTGTGGGTGAGGAACTCTGCCAAATCATTGAATAGGGCCAACCTACTGCTGGCATGCAATCCTTACATCAAATGTGCTCAGCCCCCATTCATGCTGTGTCTGTCTATCTTTCTCTTTCTCTTCCCTCCCCTTACAAATACACAGGTATGCTCACCAGGAGATTTGGGAAGCTTCAGTCCAAAACACCCATACCCACCCCCACAGTTGCTGTCCACATACATCCGATCACTATTTTCACTGCAGTGCAGAATGTGCCTCTACAAACATCTCTTGAACTACAAAGCCCTGTTGCTTAGCATAGTAAATCACATTAGAGCAGAGCTATTGAATCAGCAGGAACTTGGTGAGTTCTGTAAGTTTTACTGATTCAAGAGGGCCTACTCTAACTGTGACTTATTTCAATCAATGGGAACCTATGGAGGAGTAGACTCACGAAACCCCCATTGATTTAATGGCACTAATCTAGTTTAATTTATTATGCTAACCAACAGGATTTTAGTCATTGCTACTGCTTCCTTCTCTTCCATGTACCACTCATGGAGAGTTCATTTTGTTTTGCTTTATTATCATCTTAATTTTTTCGTAAAGCAGCAAATGGCAGCAAAGCTACTTCCACCCACAGGAGAGCTTTTGTCCCATTCTTTCTGTCGTGTTCCTCGTTGTCCATTTCATTTTCCCCCACTTAGCTACAGATGTTTTTGGACTGTAGCTCCCATAATCCAATACCTATGCCCGCTGGAGTGAATGGACATTCTGGGCAAAAAAACCATCTGGAGGGCCATAGTTATCCACAACATCCAAACTAAACCCCTCTTACAAACAGGTCTATGCAAAAACAACATGCTACTCACTTGAAAGCTCCTGAATAGCCAGAGAAGGGATCATTCCGGGTGCATTTCTCCTGACCTTTCCCGGCACATAAGCGACAGAGTGTTGGTTCAGAAGCACCTGGGACACAGCTGGCTGAGAAAAACCTGGCTACAGCTGTAAATGGAAAATGCACAGCCCAGTCACTGATGGGTCCCTTCTCATCCCACCTGTGAGAGTTTGCATTGAGGATGAATCAACTTCATAAACGTCTCAGCCACTCTCTTGAAATGCCAATGTTTTCAAAGCTGGAAGCAGTCTTGTCCATGGTTAGGAACAAGATTTTAAAAGGTTATTTTTTGTGCTACAGCCCTAGCATGCCCCAGCAACATCATTACAGACAGGATCATAATAACCCATGGAGGGGCCCTATACTTTGGGGTATTTTAGATCCCCTCAGGCCCTTCTGTATTTCATGCAACTACAGCCGACAGCCTGACCATGGTACAGTAGGTGCTAGACTGCAGTACGTAGCTCTATATCCCTTCTGAAAGTCTCCTCGCAATGTTTAAATATCTATTTTTGCACTCCAACTCCTGGAAGCCTCAACCAACATGGCCAATGGTAGAGGATTGATCATGCAAGACATCTGGACTAAATGCTTTCCATCCCTGCAGTAGAGAGCTTATCTCAGCCAGGGACAGTCAGCGTCAACTTGTTGCCTGATGTAGAACAGCAAATAGGGCTCCCTCCCCTAGTCAGATTGCATGACATCTGAGGCCAACCAAGTTATTTTGACACCTGAAGCTGAAAATCCCACTTCATCCTCTCCCTGGAAATTAATAACACCTCTACAGTGGGCTGGACCTAACATCTCTGGTACTTAGAGGAATCTGTTTGATTTCAGTGAGTCTAATCAATGGGGATCCTCTAAGTAAGACTGATCCCAGACCCTACCCAATCATAACAGTACATTAGTATTATTCCTTCCATTTTTGCCTGATACACTAGGACAGACTGACACTCACTAATACCTCTTCTAAAACTAATAGATTAGTTATAAAAAGGTTTGCTACCTTTACAAGACACTAAAAGCATGCTGCCTGAAGCAGCTGCCACACTGCCTGATGGCAGGGCTAGCGCTGACCTCAACCTATTTGCAGAGCAGCCACCACATTCTTGGACCACGTCCTGTAACCAGGTTGTGACCTACGAAACCAATACAATACCAAAGAGAAACTCACACCCCACAGCAAAACGTGCTTCTGTTTGTTATTTGTACTTAATTTGTTCCAAATATACCCAGCTACTATTCTGGAATTTATCAGCAGGTCCAATAAATGCTCTCCTCACCATCCCTCTTACCTTTCTCCAATGGTTCTACAGCTGCTCCTTTCCAGTCTATCATGTTATGGGCCACAAGTCCCCCAATTGGAATATTCCACCCTGCAGACCTGCCCAAGCCAGTGTGGCAGGATTTCTTTCCTTGAAGATCAGAAATTGAAGAGATGGTTCCTGTCTTCGCCACAGCCACAGCACGGTAACTGGTAACAGATTCTGAGAGAGAGGAAGCAAGCAAGCAAATATAAATCTGTGTGGCCCTGAAGAACCTTTCTCTTTTTTCTTCCCTAGTCTTTGTTTGCAGCTCTTTAGATAGTATCATCTTCCAGTGAGCCCTGAGTGCTCACTGGAAGGACAGTTCCTGAAGCTGAGGCTCCAATACTTTGGCCATCTCATGAGAAGAGAAGACTCCTTGGAAAAGACCCTGATGTTGGGAAAGTGTGAAGGCAGGAGGAGCAGGGGACGACAGAGGACGAGATAGTTGGACAGTGTCATTGAAGCTACCAACATGAATTTGACCAAACTCCGGGAGGCAGTGGAAGCCAGGAGGGCCTGGTGTGCTCTGGTCCATGGGGTCACAAAGAGTCAGACACTACTTAACGACCAAACAACAACAAAAAGATGGTATCAAGTAATAAACATACTGTTTCTTGTAACAACCTTCCCTAACAGCCACTCTCTATGCCATCAGTAGTGTGGAGGTGGGTACATGAGGGCTTGGAGAGCAATTGCCGCCACAGTAGATGGTCTGAATTTTGCTTGATCCAGTATTCTGACTGAGCAAAAGGTGGCTTCATCTGTTACCTTCCTCTCCCTTATTTTGGTCCTTACGTTTGGTTCAGTTCCTATTAGCTCTTGTTGCATATTCCGAGTTAGAGTTCCGTAGATGAACAGAGAGCATTAAAACTACTTTTCACTATCGTTAGGTAAAGGTAAAAAGAGTAGATCTTTGGTTAAATAAATAAATAAATAAATATCATCCCTGTTTCCAAGCCATAGAGCCAGCGTTTGTCTGTAGACAGTTTCTGTGGTCACATGGCCAGTGCGACGAGACACGGAACGCTGTTATGTTCCCACCATGGTGGTACCCATTTATCTACTTGGATTTGGATGCTTTCGAACTGCTAGGTGGGCAGGAGCTGGGACAAGCAACAGGAACTCACTCCGTTGTGTGGATTCAATCTTATGACTGCTGGTCTTCCAACATTGCAGCACAGAGGCTTCTGCGGTTTAACCAGCAGTGCCACCACATCCCTCACTATCATTAGCTATTGGTAAAATAACAGATTATCATTAGCCATTATTAGAGCTGTAATAAAATCCTATAGAGAAATCCTGAGTTATTAACCAAATGGGCCTGATTTAGGCCTCTTGGTGTCCGGTGGAATGCTCACATTCAGTTCTGGAGTGAAGAAAAAGAATTCCTGATACAAAATGCAGAATAGTGTACAGAGTGATGGATTTGAACAGTGGTTCTTAACCTTTTTGAAAGAAACAGCCTGTTGAGCCATTGAGGAAGTTATCATTGCCCCCCTCCTCGTGGTGGCAGCGGCACAGCAGTGGTGCGGTACCGCCATGGGGGGTGATGATAACTTCCTCAATGGTCGTGTCGCGACGGAGGCACCACATCCACTGCCAGCCACTACCTGCTCTGCATCCACAGGCATGCCGCCACTGCGGGGAGGGGGGGATAATAATTTACTCAATGGCAACGGCGGCGGGGTGGCAGCTCCATTGCCGCCATATCACACACACCTTTCTGTTCCTTTGCCCCATGTCACCCCTTTTTATTCCATCGCCCCCCTGAAAAATGAAATCACCCCCTTGTGGCGATATCGCCCAGGTTAAGAACCACTGGATTAGAATTCAAGGGATCAGGGTTCAAATCTCCACTTAGCAATGGAAATTCACTGGTGAAACCACTGTACAAATATCAGAGGGCTTGGTTACACATGTGGAAAAACCTTGTTTTTTAATTCGGTTTAGCATGTTTGAAATCGATTTTTAAAAATTCAGCTACACAACACACAGGGAAGCACTTTTTTGTATGGGAAGCAATTTTTTGCTTGGAAAGCAAGGTGTTATACTCAGCCATGAGAGGGTCATTTATTTTAAATTGCTTGTGAAACTGATTTATTGTTTTGGCACACATGAACGCTTCTCAGTGTAAACTGTGTCTAGAGGGTCTGTCAGGTAAATGAATGCCAAGATCATGGGTTTCAGGCTGCAGGAAAATCTTGCAGTCCAATTTGAAAAGAGAGCTAGCAGTTAAAAGTTGGGTGGGTAAAAGTGCTGCCTCCTTCACATGCCTAGAAGCTGTTGGTCTTGGCAAACTCTCTGCCACTCACTAGAGTTGCTTCCCAGTCACCAGACCTGGCTACATGTTCTGTCGCTACCTCTGCTTCTCCTCCCTCCCTCCCTCCCTCTCTCTCTCTCTCTCTGTGTGTGTGTGTGTGTGTGTGTGTGTGCGTTTGTGTGCATGGTGACCTATGTTTTAACTTTTTTCTCTCCGTATCATCATGAACTAGTGGTATGTCAGATTGCAAGAAATTTAGAAAATATATCAACTAACACCATATCAGCAGCAGCTAGTGGCTGTGAGGGGCAGCCAGTGTCAGGCTGGATGGGTGCAGGACAAAGCCTCAAAGGTAACGCTTCTAAAAGTCAGTGCAGAACCCTCAACCGATATACAACAAAGTTTAAGCATAGATTAAATATTTTCCCAAGAGGATGCACACACCAATCCAAAACCCACATGACTACCTCATGACTTCAAAACCCTGATACATCTCTTGTTTCATTTCCATAGTGTATCTACATCCTCAGCTTAGCTGGAAAACCTAATTAGGATCAATATTCTGATTTGACAGCACATATCAGTAAGAACAAATTGGCCTCCAAGTCCACTTGGGGGACTGTGCACAACCCTACTCTTTACAATGAGAAGGAAACGCTGAAACCTCTTTGGTACAAAATGTCATACTCTTTTGAATTACAATTCATTGCTTTTTCTCTTCTCTTCTAAAGCTTAGATTTAAAAAGAATCACATAAAAGGTGAAAAATTCCACTCAAAGTGCATCTAAAAACCACCCCACCATTACTCGCCTTGGGAGGAACTAAAAAATGACTAGAAAAGTTTACTTGTTACATACAGTCCCCCTGCCCGCTCCATCCTGTTCTCCCCATAAAGTAAGCTGGTTTTAAAAAATGACTTCATTGCATCCCACTTAAAGGCAACATTACCCATTACTTCTCAGCTTTGATGGCACATTAGATACACTGCTTGTGAATTCTCACCCTGGGCTTTGTTTTTCAAATTTACCTCCTTGGTCTGTGTTATAGACCTCTGATACAATAGGCTTCAGATTGTACGGGGCCTGGCCTGCATCAAAAACCTGACCACCATCCAGAGTGACAGCATCTGCTTCATTGTTCTGAAAAGGCACAATAGGAACAATGTTAGAAGGCACAGGGATCCCTCTACAACCTTATAAGACACAGAAGGGACATGGGCAACAGGTGCTGGAGGGACACACCACCCTCCTTCTCCTGGAACCAGAAATCAGTGGGATTTCTTCTCTTTTGTAATCTTCCTTATTATGGCAGAATCATAGAGAAGTGACAGGGCCAAAATGAATGAAGAGATGAACTGGGAAGAGTGTGGGGTGGGGATCACATTTCCTTTTTTTTTTTTTAAGTAATCTAGCAGTCTAGAGCTCTGCTTTAAGTTGGTATTTCATAACAGTTATACTGCTCTAACAACAGACACTTAGTACTGACAAGATGCTCCTATTATGATCTGAAAAGCCAGCAAATCAGGAGCGAACAATTTTCCCCCCATCCCCTCAAAAGTCCAAAACACAGCTGTGCCAGGGTTTTACTACTGTGCAGCCAAAAGAGAAAGGGACAGCCTTTTGTCTGAGAACTAAGTACGCAGGGAGCAGGTACAGTACCTTCTTCTCGCGAAGCATCACTTTTTCACCAGAATTCCAGGAGGCACTCACAGGTATACTGTCTGGTTTTCAATGGAAAAGGAGCTGCTTTTGCCACGTTTGCACCACCAAATTGATCCAGGTGCTGCAGTAGTGGCAAGCTCACTAGCATCAACCAGGGAAGCAACAGATGGGGAAGCACGGAGCTGGAGGGCGGGAGCTGGCGTTGCCCATATTGTGTACAGCCTTATAAAAACTCCATTGAAGATATCTGGGGGGTAAAGCTATTTCTAATCATCCAGGTTTTGCAGAGTTGTCTGGCTGCTGAGGATAAGACTTGTTGCCATGTGGGTGCTGCACTTTTTTTTTTCCTTAAGGAGCTTTGTGGCACAGTGGTTAAACTGTTGTACTGCAGCTAAGACTCTGCTCGTGACCTGGGGTTCAGTCCCAGGTAGCTGATTTAAGGTTGACTAAGCTTTCCAAGGTGGGTAAAATGAGTGCACAGCTTGCAGGGGGTAGGGGGCAATGTGCCGCCTGCATAATTAAGAGAGTGCTGTAAACACAATATGGGATGGTGTATAAGCAGCACACTTTGCTTTGTTTTTGCTTTAAGGGATGTTTTATAGTGAATGCTTTAAACTAGATTTTTAATTTAATGATTCTGTCTGAATCGTTGGTCTTGTTCTGTGCTTTAACTGTCTTCTTTTATTTAACTTTAGCAAGAGCTGCCCTCTACACAATCTGGGGAAGGAAAGTGGGACATAATAAAAATGCACGCAGGGCTTTCTCCCACATTCAGAAGTTCACTCCTGCAATTTTACAAATGAATCCATCCACGTCCTGTCAGGCTCTTATCAGCCTATCTCCTGACTAGGCAGAGTCTTCCAGATTCTTGCCCTGATCCATCACCTTTTTTTTGCATGGCTCTTCTTTGCTCTCCCTTCTGTAGCCACCTCACATCAGGGCACAAATATCTTTGAGATCAGCCATTCTGATATATGGCTAAGAGATCTTCCAGTGGAATATTTTGTGCCTTGCACATTGCATAGGCATCCTTCAGTCTCGAGAGACTATGGTAACATGCTCTGAATCGAGGAGTGTCCTCTCCAGAGCATGAAGCCCGGGTAAGGTAATATGGAGGATAGGCTGTTACCCAAGCAGCAGATCCTCCCTCTCCACATTGCTGAAATGGTCCAATGGAAAGGCAAGAGCCAATACAACTGGTTCCAGCAATGTCGCAGGAGTTGGCAGAACGACACATGCTGCCTTTGGGACTCCAGCTCCGGATTTTGCCTCGAGGTTAACTCCTGAAGCCTTTTTCATGAGTGGATATAGCCACAAGGCAGTGGAGGTTTGAAATCGGAGTTTTTCTTCTCCTAGATGGGCTGCCTTCCATGGCTGACGAGCCCCACCTACCCCGGCCTGCTCTTTCGTAGTGCAAAAGTATGATCTGATCCTTAAAACTTTCCTGACTCCCCGGCTTATGCAAATCTAATTGGCTTTCCTATTTACCATATTAAGGCCAGATACAAAATTTGCACATTGAACTCAGGATATTCTCCCAGCATTCATTTCTAGCTTCCACTGGCTACTCACTGCAATGGCCTTTATGCATTCATGGACATCGGCCTTCTTCACACAGCTGAGCTGTTGGCTGCTAAAGCACTTCTGCAAATTGTGGCATTTCTCCTGTTCAGGATCAGACGTTGTGCACCATCTTACTGGGGATGTTGCAAAACACAGTGCTGTTGAGAAAATGAGAGAGGGTTAGGGACACAATGTGATGTACCTTGCACAGCACCAACACTGCCTGCCTGGAACCTTATTCCCTGTAGTTTCAGGCAATAGATTGTCTTCCCAGTCTTTGCAAAGTGAAATGGGATGTCAAGGATGAACTGAGCTGCTGTCATTGGGGCTACCATAGTCTGTAGAAAAGAAGTGTCCCCGATCCTTGCCATCACATGCCATGCAACAGTCATCACAGTGGCACAGCCTAGCTTGGTGGTGCATAACGGTTGGGCCTCGGGGGGGGGTTGGACTTCAACTCTCAAGGTTGGGGAGTTTGTGGCCTGAGACAGGAGAAGGCCCACTCTAAATAATTTGTGGGGCACCCACCTGCCTTGGATACAAAGTTGTCATTAATCTCAAGCCCCATCCAGCAGTGGTTAGTAACTCTACAAACTGGAATCCAAATCCTCTGACAGTGTTTAATAGCCAAGGTGATACATAGCCAGATGATGGCAAGCACTATGTTTCACCATCACTCCTCCTTGGAGCCAGATAACTCAACTAAGTTGTCCATATTGGCCAAGAAACATGTGTGCATTGTCAGAAAGCTTCAGGGCTGGATCAATCTGACAGATAGCAAAAGCAGAATTTGTGAGTAAAACAAGACAGAGTGGGGAAATGCTTATGGTCATAAATTTATGGGTTATTTAAACTGGCTGTTCCCAAACTGGTTGCCTTCCAGATGTGCTGAACTTCATCACTGGAGCAGGGAAGGCTGGCTTAGATTATCACATTATGGTCCTAAGGTTTCAGAGTAGCTGCTTTGGTGGCTACATAATCAGAAATGCATTATTGGGTTATTTATGCCCAAGAAAATGAGACTGCACTTTTGTTCCAGTTTTCAGTGAAACTTTATTGCTTCTTCTACCCACTGGAACTCTGCTCCTTAATCAAGAGAAAAGAGTTTGGTTTGAGAACTTGCCTTGCATTATATTGGGTTCCAAGATAAAGAAAAGCAAACACTGCTTACAGAAATGTGTCACCATTTGTCTGGCCTTCCTACTTCATTCCATGTAAATACACAGGGCCAGTGTATATTATCTTTTCAGTCAATGTTTTCAGTGCAGGCTGTGCTGAATCCTCTGTGGGGTGCTCTGAGCCAAGATGGCTGTGAAATCAGAGCAGAGCTTGGGGCTCTTCCAAATGGTGCTGTTACTGCATGCTGTTTTCTTTTTTTGCCCTTTTTCCATTTGTGGATTACAAAATTTAGTATGACAGATATGCATACAGGGAGCCACTGGCTCTGTGATACTGTGGTGGGAATTTTCCACTCATGCAAGTGATGGTTCACAACCCCACCACCTCCCCATGTCCTCCTCTACATTCTCTTCTTCCCACTCTACTTCCCTCCCTCCGCCTTGTTTTTCTACACTCTTGTAGTTATTTCATGTCTTTAGCAGTCTACTGCTAAACTGCTTCAGCACTTTCCTGTTTCCCTTTCACCAACTCATTCGCCTCTTTTGGGGTGGCTTCTCTAACAGAAGGTGTGTGGTCATTTCATATTTCTGTCCTGTTTTTCTTCACTCTTGTAGATTACTTTTTTTAAAAAAAAATCTTGTTGATAGCCTATCAACAAAACAGCTGCAGTGCTGTACTTGCAGGCTGAAGACGCTGGAGGAAGGTGTGCAGAAGGGCCATTCCCACAAAGTACATCATTGCATGCTATTCCAAAGAAATGACCAACAATTCTGGGCTAGACAAAGACTCTTTGAGGGTGAATGAATTCAGTACAATTGATATTATACCATAGAAAAAGACAATTACACCGAAGCTTACTTGTGTAAAGTTGTTTGTTATGCATTAAAATAAAACAAATTATACATTAAAATAAATCAAAAAATATTCTGGGACAAAACTGCTAGAGAATGTGTATCAGCAAATGGAGACTTGGAATTTAGTGGTAGAAATCAGAATAATGACACAAAAATCCTGATTGTTGAAGGAAGTATGGGAAGTTGTGAGGGTTGGGGGAAACCTGTACAAAACAAGATAAAAATAATGTTGTTTTAATGTCACAAAAATTCTCATAAGATCAATGGAAAAAGCTTCAGCCACAGCCAAATACCTGCCACTCACAGGCACATTCTAAATATGAGCAGAAGCCTTTGCCTTTGAAGTAAATACATAATACCTGAAGATTCATTGTGACTGGAGCAAAGGAGAAAAATATTAAATTCTTCCTCTACTCACCATGGTCCTGATTCTAACCAGCACACCCTCTCCACATGGCTATTATCTACATTTTCAAATCTAGACATATGAAGTATATCTAGTTAACTGCAGTCATGCAGTCTATATTGTATTTAGTTAACTGTAATCATGCCATTAATGCCAGATCAAGTTTGCTCCTACAGTAATTACAAAAATGTCAGTATTTCAGCCATAGGGCCGATATTTTGCAGGCAACATAATCAGTGTTTCAACTCCTGTGTTCTCCAGATAACACTGAACGTTATGCCTATTCAAAACCCAAGTAAGCTACTGCTAGTCAATGTGGATTAGGGGGCAGGGAACCTCAGGCCCATGGACAAAATTCTATCAGAGCAGCCCATGTGGGTTGCAAAGACCACAAATCAGGACCCTACCTGCCCTACCTGCCCAAGGTGCTAGTCTGACTCACTCAGTTTTCTTATGTTTCCAGTTAGCATAGGAGAATCCTCCAGGAAGTTCTGTAAAAGATTTATGATTGGTAGGTGTACAACAGTATCACCATGTTCTTTCACATATCTCACACTTTAAGTAGAAGAGAATTTGCCAGCAAACTGGGTTTGCCTTTTAATCTGCTGTCCAGAAGAACCCAACGCCCTGCCTTAATTATACCCTGATGAAAACCTGCTGTTCTACAGTGGAGATGACTTTGTGAGGGAGTGTCAACAGCTGACCCTTGCTGGTTTCAGCACATAACGTTGGCATGCACAGTCTGAGGTAGTGCAATTGAAAGTCATCATAGCATAATTTTAGATACTTGCAGGCTGAAAGAGTTGTATGAAGAAGCCTCCAATTTCAAGAAAAACAGTCATTCAGAGTAGTCTGTTCAGATATAGACTACTGTGTATTCTGAATTCCCCAACATCCATTTGTCTGTGTGAGGAAAGTAATGACATTGCTTGCTAGTGCTTACTGTTTCTAAGGTCAAGATGTACATTACAGAAACCACATCATTAGAAAAGGGAATCCCATGCTAAAAGTGGCCAATTGTCACAGCAATAATTTTTCAAATCTTCAGCTGGCTTTGTTTTGCAGTTGGTATTTAGGATGCTAATATTTATATTTTATTTATTTAATTAATATCTATGCCGCCCAATCTACCCAGAGGTCTGAGTATTGTGTCCAAGTATGATTGCTCTGACATAAAGGTCTGCCAAACTCATGGGTCTGGAATGCTAATATGGTTTCTGCTTCCAATGATGTTTTGTCTGTAAAGTGCTATTTGGACTTAGGGCTGTTTCCAGATTGACAAATCCCAACACCACAAGTCCAAAGACATAGTGCAGCTATTCCGTTTTTGTAAGAAAAAAGATGGAAGAAGTGATGGAAAACCATGAAGGAGGTATTTCAAAACAGCACAATACAGCACTCACTCCCACTAATAAGGTGGGTGTGAATGAGGTGAGACTATAACACCTTGTGCAGTCTAAAAATATTCTAAGAGCCAAACTAGAGGAGTGGAACTGGTTTAAGCCGTATAGAATGGTTGATTATTCTCTAATAACTTCCATAGTTTTTGAAGTTGAAAATGAACCTGCTTTTGTTTAGCAGTTTGGTCCTGGAGAGCGAAAACCAACGAGGCTTTATCTGCATGTTGATTTTGCCATCAGGACAGGGGGCAAGGTTTATCCCCCAAATTACCAGTCCAATAATACAAAACAAGTGGGGATTTACTGTGCTGCAGAGAGAGTTTGACTTTAACTACAGAGTGCAAGAGACAGTTCTCAACCTCTGTGTTTGTTTTGCAGTGCTAATTGAGAAGCAACAAGGGGTGGGGGGGAGATTGGACTGAGGGTATTAGAGGAGGGTTAGGCTCTTTCATATACCTACCAATTTTCCCTTACAACTTCCAACAATTTTTTTTAAAATCTTCTAATAAGAAAGAATAAGTCAGGCATCTGTTCAGGAAGAAATTGGCAAGAATGGAACAAATTAACCAGTTTATTCTCCCTCCTAGAGCTTTTCTCCCAAAAATTTCTTTCACTTCAATATATTACCTGATGAAACAGGGATCTGGAAACGTACACTTTCCATACATCCTCTCCTTTCTTTGGCCAAAGCTCATCCAGCACTTGAGAATTAATACTGTTATCTTTTTTGCACTACGGAGTTGCTTACGCTGCCTCTCCTTTATTTTGACTTACAAGTACGAGGACTAATCCCATGGGTCTCCCTGAATGGAGCAGGGTCACTGAATCAATAAGACAAAAGTGTTGACTTTAAAAGCCCCATTTATTCAATGGATCATCTCTAGGTGAAACTGAATTTGGATTTGCATGTCCACATGTTTTAATGGTTAAGCGTCATTTAAGCCGCTAATAGGCTTTAGCATTAAGTTCATTAAGTGTGCTTAAACTATACTGTAGCTTGTTCATCAGCTGAAGAGAGACTACATCTCTGAAGGGGAGAAAGGCTTTTGGAGCGAGACTTCAACAAAGACGGGGACTGCTGTGAGGACAATTTGCCACCCCTAATAAGTCACTCGAGCAGGAATGAGCAACTACAGTCCTGAAAATGTTGGAATACATCTCTTATCATCTCAACCAGCAGAGCAAATGGTGAAAGATCATGAGAGCTGTAGCTCAAAAAAAAAAAAAAAGCACAAAGGTTCATCCCTACACTACAAGCTTCAGTTCCATTAGCTCTGTTTCATGAAATTAAAGGGTGCTGTGAGGCAATGTTGCACTGTATTTAAAGATTTTCCTTGTTATGAACAAGGTGTTCCACCTTATCATGCCTAGGCTAGCAACCCCTGCATTTCAATTGTCTTGCCACTTTTCTCAAGCCTACATCCACTTACCCAGCAGCCCGATGGACAGCGTAGCTTGGAAGACAAATTTCATTTTTTTTCCTCCTCAGAAGGCTTTCAGATGGATGTTACAGAGGTGTCTTGTCACAGATTGCTCCCAAGCGTCTGTGAAGGCATTTGACTCAGCTGCCTTGCCTTTTTATAGAGAGAGTCTGCAGTGTTAGCAGAAGCAGTGACCCAACTGTGTTTGCCCTTCCTTGTTTCCCAATCACTCTGGGCTGCCTCCCCCTCAAACCAGGCCTTTTTCAGGAAGAATTTCACTTTGGCACTGAATTCACAGAGACAGGCAGGCAGGGAGCAGTCAACACCGCTCCTTAGAGAGGGTTCAGATGGGAAATCCCCCTGTCATTTTTATTCTTTCCTTAACAGAAATCTTATTAAACTAACGGGAATGCATGCACCCCCACTGTTGTGTGACACTGGTGGGAATAATCATCATCCTACTCCCATTCACTGTTGCAAAATACAGGAGACTCTGTTGAAGCAGACTCAAGATTTTGTACCTTATGAATAAGTATGCAATATCTTACATGTTTTGGATTGATTTTTATAAAAACAGGATCATAATCAAAATCTTATATTCACAACTGATGATTGAGTCTAAACATCCATCAGTTAGGGGTGCTGTGGTTGCATCCTGCATTACAAATCCTGCACAGAGCAAGAAGTTGAACAGAGGAACTCTAAAGTTTCATCCAGCTGTACAATTCTTTTTTCATTATTGGGCTCTCTGTCTTGCTCTCTCAATCTCTGTTTTAGTACATGTATATTCTTCTTTCTTATTCATTCTAGTAAGCAACATGAAGGCTCTGTAAACAGCGGAGGTGTGTATGGAACATGATGCTATTGCATAAAAACCTGACTCAATGTAACTTAAATGTGCAGAAATATTCACAAGAGTAGATTGCGCTGGAGGGAAATCCTGATCATATCTCTGGACTTGATTCAAGGGCGGGGGAGAGAATCAAGTGAATAATAAACATAGATCAGACTAATCTAATGGATGACAACAGAATGCATTTCTTTTGTTTAGGTGAGCAGTTTTTAACCTTTGGTAACACAGGCATTTTTGGACTACCAGTCCCAGAAATCCTGACCAGAACTGCTGGTGATAAAGGCTTCTGGGAATTACCATCCAAGAACACTTGGGTTACCCAAGATGGGGAGCCATTGGTTTAGGTTATAGCTCAGTGAGTTAGTTGTCTGGCTGTGGAGCCAGAGGCTGGGGGAGTCTGATTCCCCACTGTGCCTCCTGTGAGTAGACCCAGCATGTATGGCTTTGATCAAGCTGCCCAGTCCCAGGATGCCCCCAGAAGATGGGAATGGCAAACCACTTCTGTATATTCTTTACCCGAGAAACCCTGAAATGCGTCACCATAAGTCAGGATTGACTTAAAGGTAGAGGAGGAGGAGGAGGAGGAAGAGGAGGAGGATATCAAGATTGGGTAACCTGCAAACCGTGCACTGTATGAGTTCAAATGTGTGTTTGTTTTTTGTTTTTTGTTTTGTTTTGTTTTGTTTTGGAGGGTAGGGAGCCCACATTTTCCTAATTCCCCCATACTGAAATAATGTAAGAAAGAAAGGGTTGTTGCCTGCAGAAGCCTCCAGGAACTACAGTTCTTTTGAGAAACAAGCTGCTGTCTCTACTGCTGTTTTGCCCCTAAAGTGCATTTTTATAAAAAACAGAAGTAAACTTTCTACCAGTTATGATTTCAATTTTGGGAGGTGCAGTCCACAGCAAGTTCAGAAAAGTTACACCTGGACCAGATGTGCCCAACTGGGTTAGAGTAACAACCTTTAGAAGGTTAGCCATGAGGATCTATTGTAGTCAAAACAACAAAGTGACAAGAAAGTATGAGGAATTGTTGATGAAGCTGAGAATGTTTATCCTGGAGAAGGAAGGACTAGAAAGTGATAGGCTAGCCTTCCTCAGATATTTGAAGGGTTGTCATATGGAAGATGGAGGAAGCTTATTTTCTGTAGCTTCAGAGGGTGAGACGCAAAGTAATAGATTCAAATACAGGAAAGGGTTTTTTGCCCAAATATTAAGAACTTTAGAGCTGTTTAATTTAATTGAATCGACTGCATGGAAGGTGGTGAGCTATCCTTCATTGGAGGTTTTTAAACAGAACTGAAATAGCCACAGGGATGCTTTACCTATGGAATTCCTTTTGGGGTTGGGGGGGGGTTGGACTTGAGGATGCTCAAAGTCCCTTCCAGCATCCTACAACTTCATAATTTTATTATTCTTCAATCAGTGTTTATATCCTTTCTTTATATCCATACATACTGCACACTTGCCAGATAAGGATGAGAACTAAGGTCACTGTGATGCATGCAATTGGACTATTGTAAAAATCATATGGAGCTTACATGGAAGAGCATTTCAGTTGGCTGAGAATGCTGCAGCTGTATTACTGATTTCAGCTGGCTGGGAATGCAGTAGCTGGATTACCAACTGGAGTCTATAACAGAACACATGTAATCCAATATTATAACAGCATTGTATAATTCTTTTGCACAATTCAGGGTGCAACTTATGGCCAACCCAATGCCCTTCTGATCTACTAAAAACTGTGAACTTGTATATGAGCCTGATCAAACTGTAAGATCTCTAGGGCCATGGAAGGGCTCCCCTTCCCCGCCGCCCATGTTCCATCAACAAGTCCACCCAGGCTGGGGGAAGGACAGCATGAGCCAAAGATGGGGCACTACCCCATTTGCCATAACAGATCATCTTCCACTGGTGCTGGAGGACATGAAAGCTCACATTCTAAAATGATATTTCATTTGTCTCATAAAGGTATTATCAAAGCCTGAATGTTGCTTCTTTGCTCATCAATCACATGGCTGTTTATTTCCTAAGGAAACATCCACAAGATGTTTCTAAATAGCATAAATGTCTGTCATATACAGTAATTCAGAGCTGGGGACCATTACTTTTTTGGGCTTTAACTACCAGAATCCTCTACCAGCACATTTCTAACCTCTGATATAATGTAAGTACCACGTGGAAAGATACTGGGGTGGTCCTCTCTGGGACTTCCCCTTCTGAGACACAGGTACAGGAAGTTGCTCTGTGTAAACAGACACACTTGATGTGACTGGGCCATCCAATGGACATATTAGCTATATCATACAATGTTTAGCTGTACCAGTTTTATGAATGAGAGGAAGTGGGCTTCTTTTTCTCAGTCAGGGTTATGGTGATGTGGTATCTGCATTTCTTTTCCTTTTAATTATCAACCAAGTAATTCTCATAATCTCTTAAGCTGCTAACAAGGAAGTTGAACAGTGAAAAGAAGGTGGAGGTCCACATCAAAAAAAGTTGGGGGTGAAATATGTGGATTAGTTACATTCCATGTCATAATTCTTTCAGTGAAGATTTTATCACAGATCTTATGAATAAGACAGTTGTGAGAAGACATTCTTCTTTAGTAACAATGGAAGGCTTGGTATGAGCAAATAGAGAAGGAGCCCAATCCACCCAGACAGGTGACTGAGAACCATTACTCAATGCAAAAAGAGCAATGAGCATGTGGTTCTGACATCTTCATAATAATAATTATGTGCCATCAAGTCAATTCTAACTTATGACAATGCTTTTCAAGGTTTTCTAGATAGAGAGTATTTAAAAGTGGTTTACCATTCCCTTATCCTGGGCGCATCCTGGGGCTATTCAGCTTTCTGACTCTCTGGGATGCACAGTGAGGAACTGAACTCCCAGCCTCCACAGCCAGATACCTAACTCTCTGAGCTATCCTGGATATTCCATACCTAATACATTTTGAAAAGGATTTCTATAAGTCAGAATTGGCTTGATGGCACATGACATCTTTATACTCCACTCCAAAACACAGGAGCTCAACACTGTAATTTCATTTATTTAGTTTTAGAAGAGGCAACCATGTTAATCTTGTTAGCATATCAGGCAAAAATAAAAATTAAAAAATTAAAAAATAAAGACAAAAACATTGTGACATCTCAAAGACTAAGTGATATATTTTAATGTGAGCTTCTATGGACAAGTCCACTTCCTCAAACATGAGAGTGGGATTACTCTACATGGTAAATCTTTATACGTTTGTACATGGCCCTAAAACAAAGAGACTGTTTCCTGAGTGCATGGTGTAGCATTTCAAAGCTCAAAATTATTTTTAAGACCCCTGTTGATATTCAGTTCCCCCTCCCAGGAAGCATTGTTCTGTAAACAATGACAGTGATTGCCAAATTAATCCCAGGCTACAGATAATAAGAGACGTGGTGGCGCTGTGGGCTAAACGGCAGAAGCCTGAGTGCTTCAGGGTCAGAAGACCAAGCTAAGATCAAATCCACACGACGGAGAGAGCTCCCGTCACTTTGTCCCAGCTCCTCGCCAACCCAGCAGTTTGAAAGCATGTAAATGTGAGTAGATAAATTGGTATCACCTTGGTAAAATAGCGTTCCCTAGTCACACTGGCCACGTGACCACAGAAACTGTCTTCAGACAAGCACTGGCTCTACAGCTTGAAAACAGGATGCGTACTGCCCCCCTAAAGTCGGACACGACTGGACTAACAATGTCAAGGGGAACCTTTACCTTTACAGATAATAAACAGGATTGTAATATGTATCTCTAATCACTGATGGAGCTTGTGAGGTGGCACTAGCTAGTAAATAGGGGAAATACAGCCAGGAATTGCAGCAGATACAACACAAGAGGTTACAATTGATAATGGCCTAAGAAACATTGGTTTATATTGAGTCTATTGAGATGGGTTTAAAACATACGTCTATATTTTATATCAGCTGTCTCTGTCTGGATTCTTGTCCTGCAATTTTTCTTTTCCAGAATGGCAACTTTCAGATCTTGTGCAGAGTGTCCAGATAAATTAATATTATTTGAAACAGGTTTACAAGAATGAACTCATGGTAAACATTTCAAATTCAAATTTTCCACAATGAAACATCTCCTAAAGGGGAAAAATATTTAGAGTGATTAATTGTACATTGAGCAAACACCCTTTTAATATAGACATCTATGTGTATTTTATTATACTAATGAGCATATATAATCTTGAACTCTAAAACTGGTTTTTCTAAAGTAAAAATTCAGATGTTTTCAAATATGAAGTCATATTTTATTAGGCCAGAG